GGATCCACTGGGAGGTGACAACTGTGGAGACTTCCACATGCACCTAACCTTTGTCCTATTCAGAAAGCCTTTTCCTCTCTCTCTCTCTCTCTCTCCCCCCTCTCTCTCCCTCCCTTCATCTCTCCCTCCCTCCCTCCCCCTTCCTTCCTTCCTTCCTTCCTTCCTTCCTTCCTTCCTTCCTTCCTTTCTTTCTTTCTTTCTTTCTTTCTTTCTTTCTTTCTTTTTCCCTGAGACAGGGTTTCTCTGTGTAACAGCCCTAGCTATCTTGGAACTTGCACTGTAGACAAGGCTGGCCTCAAATTCACAGTGATCCGCCTGCCAAGTGCTGGGATTAAAGGTGTGTGCCACTACTGCCTGGTTCAGAGAGCCTTTTCAATTTCTGAGTCCAGTAGAAAGGATAGCCCTCCCACATGGGGGCATATATCCTCGCTCATGGTCAGGCCTGGATTCCTGAGCCTAGTAGCCCAGCTTCTTGCCTGCTTCACCAGTCAAATCTTGCCCACTAGCAATTTCTGTCTATCCCATCCCATCCTACCTTACCTGTAGCATGCCTCTCTGAGCTCCCAAGGGACACTATACTCCTGGGAGAATTCCAGAGAGTCTCCTGTCTATACCAGCATAATGGAAGCACATAAGAATGACCAGGAGGGGTGGACGGTGACAGCCATGTCCTCTATAAAGACCATTTGCTGGTCTTCTGGCCTCACTTCTCTAGCTCCTACATATACCCAGGCTTCAAGTCCCCTGTTCCTGTTGTCTGGCTGCTCTCAGATATCAGTTTTCCACCTTCAAGAACGCGGGGAGAAGGGTCATTTGAGATTGTCCCTGTCTCTCACAACTCCTTTGTCTTCATTTCAGCGTGGTCTCAAGTAACAAGATAAGCATATCCTTCACTGACACCCCTGCCATACACTGTGGTTTGAACCAGAAGCCCTGAGGGGTCGAGGCAAGGAGAACTGGCTGAGTCATGGGAAGCAGTCATTGTCTAATGGGGTACACAGCGTTCCTGTGGGACTGCATATTGTCAGTTGTTTTTTAAATATTTATTTGTTTGTTTATTATGTATCCAATAGTCTGTCTGCATGTATTCCTGCATGCCAGAAGAGGGCACCAAACCTCATTACAGATGGTTGTGAGCCACCGGGTGGTTGCTGGGAATTGAACTCAGGACCTTTGGAAGAGTAGGCAATGCTCTTAACCACTGAGCCATCTCTCCAGCTCCTGTTTTTGTTTTGTTTTGTTTTGTTTTTACAGTGTTATAGAATGGACTCAACTAACCATGATCTAGACCTGCCAATGCTGAGGACCCAGGCTATCTTATTTCTAAGTATTGCAAAGGAGCCCTGTGCATGTTGGTTGTCCTTAATGAACAGTGTTGACTTTCTCTTCCATTTCTCCTCCCCTTCTCAGCAATGAGACCAGGAAAACAAACGGGAAAGCTTAGATAGTCCAAAAGGATACGGCTGTTCAAAGGGATCAACATGAATGAATAACACTGGTGGCCTCTCAAGTAGTTCAGTTAAAGTAGAAACACTCCAGGGACATTGCTCAGTTTGGTAAAGTGCTTGCCTATGCTTGAAGCCCTGGGTTTGGTCCCCAACACCATGTGAATGCAGCGTGGTGGTGCCTGCTTGTAGTCCTCGTAGCTGGGAGGCAGAAGCAGGAGGAGCAGAAGTTCAAGGTTGTCTTAGGATACACCTCGAGTTCAAGACCAGCCTGACCCTCTATTAATACACACACACACACACACACACACACACACACACACGATCTCACTACTAGCTGAACACAAATACCATCCACTTACGACTCTGGGACTGAACCAGGGACTCACGTGTGTTCTGACCTACAGGTACTATTTTTCTGTGTGTCCACTGTACTCATCATTCCCAACATGGATGCTTGCGGTGAGTCATCAGGGCAAGTTCTGGGCAGGCAGAGTCTATCTGAGGTCCCTGAAGAAAGGGAAGTTGAGCAGGACTTTGAAAGGTGGGTAGGTTTGTCCGTCCATTGCGACGGACTGCTCCACAGGCTGTGACAGGGAAGGGTCTGGCTTCATCTTCCATGGCAGACTTTTCATTCACTGGTCCATCCAGAAGGTGTCATCAATGACAGGTTCTCAGCTGCTATTGGGTTTGTTTTACTGTGTAAGGGGAGGGGGGCCGCTAGGAACCAAATGCAAGCCTTGTGTATGCTAAGCAAGCACCGACAACTGTAGGTGAACTGTACCCCAAACCATTTTTATAGCCTTTTTTTGTTTTGTTTTGTTTTTGTTTTTGAGACAGGTTTTTTTCTTTTCTTTTTTTAATTTATTATGAATATAATATTCTGTCTGTGTGTATGTCTGTAGGCCAGAAGAGGGCACCAGACCTCATTACAGATGGTTGTGAGCCACCGTGTGGTTGCTGGGAATTGAACTCAGGACCTTTGGAAGAGCAGGCAATGCTCTTAACCACGGAGCCATCACTCCAGCTTTCCCCCAAACCATTTTTAAAAATTTCTGTCTTTTTGAGACAGTTGACTATAACCCAGTTTGGTTTCCAACAGGGTGGTTCTCCTGCCTCAGCCTCCTGAGTGCCAGGACAGCAGACATATCACCACACCCAATGCCTCAGTTTATCGAAAGGATGTTCTGAGATGGAGATTAGATTCTGTACTGCTTAGGTTTCTCTGTGGCTGTGATTAAACCCGTGACCTAAAGCAACTCAGGGATAGAAGGATTTATTTCAGTCACACATCCCAGGTCACACTCCATCACAGAAAAAATCAGGGCCAGAACCGGGAGGCGGGAGCTAAAGCAGAGGCATGGAGGAATGCTGCTTACTGATGTGCTCCTCAGGGCCTGCTCAGGTGATTTTTCTTAGACCTCCCAGTCCTACATCAATCATTAATTAATTACATGCCCCTGCAGACTTGCCTTTGGGCCAATCTGATGGAGGCATTTTTATAATTGAGGGTTCTTCTTTCCAGATAACTCCAGCTTGTGTCAAGTTGACAAAAAACTAAGCCAGCCAAGGTTATGTTCTGAGACTTGGTCAGGAAGCACTCAAGCTGGACCTCACACTTCATTCACCTTCAACTACCCCATCATCTCTATATAAAGATGTCTGGGTACCGGGTCAGGCATGGTGTGGCCCTAGCCCTTAATCCCAGCAACTCAAGAGGTAGAAGTAGATTTTTGTGAGTTTAAAGTCAGCCTATGTCTACCTAATGAGTTCCAGGCCAGCCAGAGCTACAAAGTGAGACCCTCTCTCAAACAAAAGAAAAGTCTACACGTGGATGTGAGATTCCTGCCTGGAAGGTTACCTCCCATCTTTTATTGTTTGAGATTCCTAGGAATTTCCCAACTCTCTGGGGGCAGAGACCATTCTGTACCCCTAGAAATGATCTTGGCGGTTGCCTGCTGGTTCAGGATAAATCTGGGTTCGGTTTTGTTTTGTTTTGCTTTGAAGCAGTCTCACGTAGTCCAGACGAGCCTCTCAAACATCGTGGATAACCTGAGATGACCCAGACCTCCCGATCCTTCTGCCTCTGCTTCTTGAGTGCTGGAAAACAGGCGTGTAGCATGATGCCCCACTCAGTCTGGGTCTTCAGGCCTCTATCCCAGAAGCCAGGATTCCAAATGGGGCTGACATTATACATGATCTCAGAAAGAACACAGGCTTTGGCAAGACTCCTCTGCAAGCATAGCTAAGGAGACAAGTCTGGGGGAAACAGGGGAAGTCAAGAGTGGCCAGAAAATTTTGGCTGCTTTGGAGAACACAGGAGCTCTGGCTATATTTAAACTCTGAGTCACATGACTAGACTCTACTTGGGCTGGAGTAAAGCATGTTTTCTTTTAAATGATTAAACTGAGTTGAACTTCGTTCAAGGAAAGTTTCTTTCCCTCTGAATTTTTTTTCTTCAAGCTTTAAGAGTTTCAAGATGAGAATTTGCTTTCATAAAGAGGAAACTTATCAGTCATTTCCAACCTAGACACACCTGTGCACTCGGAACACCATCGAGTCATGCACTTGGCCGCATCCCCTACATCTGGATGATCAAGAAATCCCATTCAAAAGGGGAAAGGAAGAGGAGGAGGTATAAACACTGGCTCCTCTCTGGTTCTCTTGGTAATATGAACCAACACCGACGACACAGGTCTGGTCTAGTGTTTATCCCACTTCCGTCTTTCATCCCACAGTTGGGAGAGTTTAACCAAAATTCCACTTTCACAATGCGTCTGCCTTCCAGTATGGATCAGGGTTATTGGCAAGCCAAAACCAAAGAAAGCTAAACTCAGGATATTTAAATCACCCTGCCTTGGAAAGTGCTGGAAAGGAAGCAAGCAAAACATCAGCCTAGGGTGGGGTCTGCACTCTCAGGTCGGAGCCTTTCCTACAGCTACACGACAGCAGTTTACTAAAAAATAAAAAATAAAAAAGCTTTGGCCAGGCAGTGGTGGCACACGCCTTTAATCCCAGCACTCAAGAGGCAGAGGCAGGTGGATCTCTGTGAGTTCGAGGCCAGCCTGGTCTAAAGAGTGAGTTCCAGGGCAGTCTCCACAGTTATAGAGAAAGCCTGTCTTGAAAAAGCAAAAAAGCAAAAAACAAAACAAAAATCTTTGTTTATTTAAAACAGCCAGTGAGAAAAGACTAGAATCATGATCAACTCCTGTCTCCCACTTTGTGTGTGTGTGGGGCACTGATTTCTTTTTATTCTTCATTTAAATATTTAAATATTTTCCTAAGGTGATAACTATCTGGGTTTTTTCCAGAGCTCTGCTTGAACACTCTGAGTCTCTGACCGGGTGGGGAGGGGTGAGGGTGGGGTGTAAAAAGAAGGGGGGGAGTCAGCTGGTGGGTGTGTACCTCAGTTTTAGCAGGTAGGGTCCCGTTCCATCCTGTCCTGTCTGAGGTCTGTTTGCCTGAGCTGGGGCAGTCTCAATGTGAGGAGGCCACTGAATGACAGGCTGTTTACTGGATCCACTGAAATATTTCTACCACCCTGATTCCACTCTAGGCTCCAAGAGGTCAAATACCCTGACTGCTCCTCTGAGCTTTCTAGAAGCCAGGCTAAGGCACCAATATGCCTCCTCCACCACCTCCAATGGCCTGGGGGTCAGTATCCCATAAAAGCACAAACCTCCGGAGGCCGAAGCAGGAGACTCTCCGAGTTCAGGGCCAGCCTGGTCTACAGAGTGAGTTCCGTAATGACCAGAAACCTTGTCTCTAATAACAGAAAACAAAAGCACAAATCTAGTGGAGCCAGGGACGCTCCAGGCCTGTAGGAACTTTGAGGGGTAACAGTTTAAGCCAGACTTACTGCCACCAGGAAACTAAGGAAACCAGAGAGACTGCAGTGAGCCGGCTAGAAGGGCCCTCCAATCCGAAGCCAGATAGCCTTTGGACCACGAAGTTCACCCTATTCCGCCCAGGAGTCTAGCCTTCCACAACTCAACCGTCCCAGGTTTTTGTGCAGCCTTTCCTCCCAGGTTCACACGCCCACCCCAGAGTCTTAATTCCCCGTCCAGTGAATCTTGTTCCAGGGACACGCCCCTCTAGTGTGCCCCGCCCAAAGCCCTGGTACGAGCCTCTCAACTCGCACAAGCTCTCCCCTCCCCTGGACATTCTCTCTCACTCACGTCCCTGCTTCTCCTTTCCGTCTCTGTCCTCCAGCCCCCCCCCCCCCCCCGCTCACTTTGCCTCCGCTCACTCAGTCCTCTACCTTGAGTCCCCAGAGCCCCTCTCTCCCCTAACACTACTCTCCAATAGTGTACCTTCCCCTGGCATTTGGCTCTGCCGCCCAGCTCCTTTCAGCCAGTCTCTTGCTCCCCTTGCCCCCAGAATTACTCCCACCCACGCCCCCATGAGACCTACCCAAACTTCTCCAAGATGATCCCCACACCCAGCTTTCTCTCCCACTAGTCTACCCACCCCGCGCCCTTTAAGGCTCGCATACCACCCTCACCCTGTTCCACCTCCTTCCAGTTCTACCCTATCCTGGTCCTCCCATCTCCTGGAGGTCTCCCGGCCTGTCACCCCTACCCGCTCCTCATTCCTCTTACCACCCCTCCCCTGGATTGCCTTCCTCGTTTTCTCCCTGTCCCGGTCACTCCCCACGCCCCACCCCCGCCCTTCATCTCTCGCGCCCCTTATCCCCAAAGCTACCCGGTCTTTCCCCATCCCCCCAATCTCCTCCTGAGCACCCCCCCCCACCATCAGCCTCTACCTCCTCCAGCCTCCCAGATCACCCTTGCCTCTCCATCGCTCCCATCCCCGAGACCCCCTCGACTCCTCCCGCTCATCCATCCCTCAGGGCCCCCCTTACTCCGTGGCTCTCCCCCCCCGCCTATCCCTCCATTGCACACCCCTCCCTAGTCCTCCAGGAATCCCCCTCCCTGCTCTCCCGCCCCGTCCCGCCTCACTCCCGCCCCAGTCCGGCCCGGCTCTCCGGCTGCGCGCTCCAGGCTGGGTGAGAGCCATGGGCAGCGGCAGCAGCCGGAGCGGCCGGATCCCGAGGCGGCGGCGCAGCCCTGACAGGCGCCAGGCGGACCCGGGAGAGGCAACCTCGGAGGGCGGCACAGCTGACCAGGCCCCGACGGCCGCGACGCAGGAGGAGACCGACCCCGATCCCCGCCCCGCGACACCCCCAGGCGGTCGGGAGGAGACCCTGCGCCTGTTGGACCAGTTGCTGGCGGAGTCCGAGACCTGGGGGACCCAGGAGCCGACCCCTCGCGGCCCCGCCCGGCTTCCACCCGCGGTGAGTGTGGGCGCCTGTCTCTCCAGACGCATCCTTTCTGTAGCCCCAGTGTCCTCCCACCCAGGCCTCTCCCTACTCGGCGCCCCTGTCTCCCGCTAACCAACCCAATGTCTCCCCCCCACCCCCGTTTGTCCTAGGGCGCTGTGACCCTTCCTCACTCCCATCCCTGCATATTCTCACTCTGCCTCCTTGGTGGGTGCCCGCCACTGTCTCTATTTCGGGGTGACTCTCAAAGGCAACCTTAAAGGACCAAGTACAAACAACAGTTGGCAGAAACACCTAGAACTTTCTTGGTCCAGGGCTTGCCTTCCTTTCCCAGCGGGGCTGCATGCAGTCTGCAGCATCATTGCAGCTCAGGTGGGAACTGACTAGCAAGGGCCTCCGCCTTGGCCATCAGGGGACACAGTGAGGAGGCATTAAGTGGGTAAATCACCTGCCAAACAGTGGTTCGAAAACGTCCTGCCGCGTCGGTCGCGTCCGGATCTTTGACTTGCAATTCCCGCATTGCAAGCTATTTTTAAGATGCGGCTTCCTCATCTTCTCCTGCTGAACACTTGTAATAACACCCCCGCTGTTCTAGAAAAACAATGGCAAACCAGCGCTCTGGTTTGGCACGCCTTTGGTGCTGCAGAGCTAAAATTCAGAACCGTCTTAGCGGCTCCTGACTGGAAGAGGAGGCTAGAGGCAGTAGTACTCCGAGGCTTCGCTGCGGGCCGGGCCGCCGAGGCAGAGGGAATGTCTTCTTGGACCCGGCTACCAGGCAAGCATCAGGGAAAGGCCACTGGAATGGTGGGAAGACAGCTCAACCCCTGCACCCTGAACAGGGCTCTGTCCCACATCCCTTCTCCCCCCTGCCCTGTTTACGACAGGACAAGTCAGCCGTAGTGAGAACTGAATTATATAACGGAATTCCTCTAAGACTACATCAGCCTGCAGTTATGTAAGACCAACAAAGAGCAAACAGTCGGGGAGATTTTGTCAGAGCAAGGAAACAAATTTTCAATGTCATTTTCAAGTGCTTAGGGAACTTCAAAGGTGTGGAAATGAATGAACTTTCCCTCTTTTCTTGCTGAGTATCCGCTGGAAGAGCATCCTAGAGACAGGATCTCCGGGACTCTGTTACAGTAAGCGGGCTTGCTCTAGGTATCAGGGGCAAAGGCAGGTGCCCAGAGCACTGGCCTGGGAACCAGGGGGACAAACGATCCAAAGATCAATTACGATGCAGTGGAGAGAAGTCAGTCTGAGGAGTCCACAGGAAGGAGGGACAGGCATGCTCTAAGGGTGGAAAGGCTTGAGTCTGAGGTGGTCAAAGGACAAGAGCAGAGCACAAGGTGGGGGAGGGACACTGGGTACACTGATGGTAGTGGCATGTTAGTGCTGGTGTAACTGTGGCGGAGGCATGCTTAGCATAGGTGTAGCTACGGAGGTCTTTAGCATCTGTGTCTTGCTACATCAGGGGGGTGTAGACTCTACTGAGAAGCATTTGAAGTCTGAAGGGAGTACAGTTTTTGTGACTCAACAGCAGGAAAGGGGTGAATCAGACAGAAGAACGCCTGGGGCACCACGATCCACCAGGGTGACTCTGGCTGTCCAACTGACCAGGTCCTGGACCCAAGCAGTAGTCAAGAAAGAGGTATAAGGAGGTAGGTTCAAGAAATAAAGTGTGTGCGGGTGCTGGCAGCCGCACCTTTAATCCCAGCCCAGTACTTGGGAAGCAGAGGCAGGTGGATCTCTGTGAGCTTGAGGCCGGCTTGGTCTACAGAGCAAGTTCTAAGACAGCTAGGGCTACACAGAAAAACCTGTCTCGAGAAGAGAAGAATGTGTGATATCAGAGCAGTGGCTACCCTTTGGGAGGGTAGGGGGCAGGCCTCAGCTGTGTTCCCTGGACCATGAATGCTTCTCAAACTAATGACTGAATCCCAGAGCTCCAGGAGAGACAAAATCAGGAAGTGAGGTCCCTGCTTCTAAAAAATGCTGCACATGCCAGAGTGTGGAACCCAGGCGCCTGTGCTGTGCGGCTTGCTCACATCTGCTCACATCTGTAACTGATGCCCTCAGGAGTGTGCACCTTACAGGACTCTGGATTGGTGACTCCCCACAGAGACAGAAAAGAACAGTCCTTCATAACATTTGAGACAATGTCCCCCCAAGCAAAAAGGACCCTTTGTCAGGACATGAATACACTCTCACTATCCTTTTATTAGGAAAGAAGAACACTTTTCCTGACATTCATCATCTTCTAACACTTAGGAATTTTTTTCATTTTTTTTTGGTGTTTGTTTTTGTTTTGCTATTAAGAGACTATCAAAATTAAATGACAGTCCTTGTAAGGGCCTTCATTTAAACACTGCAGCCAGTGAGCTGAGGTTGGAGCTGAGCAGTGAAGAGCTGGCCTAGCATGCATAAGCCCTTCAGTCTGATCCTTCACTCCACCAGAAAGCAATGAAAACAGAAAAATTGCAACCACTGTTGACTGGGGTGCAAGACTGATTATGCATTATCCCCGAATTATCTGGAATATCCCGTAAAACTGGACTTTATTTTAAAAAATAGTTCTAGAGGGCTGGAGAGATGACTTGGTCGTTCTGAGTTTTTCTTACTATTGCAGAGGACCTGAGTACCACCACCCACGTCAGGCTTCCTCCAGGGCCTCTGGTGCCCCCTTTTGGTCTCTGAGGGTTCTGTACTCCTGTTCAAATTCACACAGACAAATAATTAAAAAATAAAAATTAAAACAAACGATAGAGTTTTAGCTAATATTTTAATGAGTACTCAAGTCTCAGTCTTGCACTAATTCTCTCCATGCTCACCCACATTTTTAATATTTTTATTTTTTAATGACACAATAATTGTACTTATTTATGGAGTACGAGATCAAAAAAGTGCTGGGATTACAGGCGTGTGCCACCGTGCTTATCCGTTTAGGCAATTTTTTGAGGCTGGATTTATTTGTTTTAGTTTTGTCAAATTGAGGGTTTAAGAAAAACATTAAAAGTTAGGATAATCTTACTATGTTATTTTATTTATGTGCATTTATGTCTGTTTTGAATTGTCCCACTTAAACCATCTCATAAACAGATTTTTTCCCCCTGCTTGTATCCTTACATATTTAAAGGGACATGAGATAGCCTACCAAATTCCTGTCCTGTAAGTCATGGACCCAACCCCCTCTCCTGTTACCGTTTTGAATTAATTTTTAATCTCATGGCCACATGAAGTGCCCAAGGCAGAAATTCTTTCCCAGAGTCAGTAGCTCTCAAATATCGTGTTAGTTGGGGATCTGAAACTTCAAACTCTGCAGAATGGGAAGGCTGAGTAAATCTGTGAAATTTGAATTGGTAGTTTTTAAAAGTCGTTTAGTAATTTGGGAGAACACAGCATCACCTGTCAGTCAGTGGTCTCTTCCTGGGTAAAATGAGCCATTTGATATCAATTTATCCACAGAGAGAAGGGGCAGGGAACAGCAGTGTTCTCCCACCTTTTCAAATGTTTGCACCATGGGGGAGGGTCATAGATAGGGCTCTGTTAGGTCACTGAGTTACTGTCCCGCCTCAGCCCCAGATTATGTTATGCTGGCCACATCTGAAGGTACTTACAGAGAAGAATTTGGTTCAGTACCGAAACCATCTGTTCAGTGCTTTCAGTACTAGGTTAGTAACTCAATGCTCCCCCCCACTTCCTGCTGCCCTGCCCCCAGTCAGGGGGTCTAGGAAGTCATAAAGAGCATTGCTGTCACTGAGAGATAGATAGTATCATTTTTCATAAGTCTGTGTAGAACAGTGATATTTTCTTTTGGAGCTGAATGACACCTTGCTCCCTGCTTTTGCAGTTTCTGATTTACTGTAGCCTAGGAGGACTGGGGGAATCTTGTCTGTTGCCATCAGCCAAGCCTTTAGGGTGATCACAACTTGCACTGCTGTGGAATGTGAAGTGAACAAGCAATAGAAAGGAACTCACAGCCGCAGAGTGGACTCTCCAGAAGGACACAGAGATGCTGGACTCACAGCCAAAGCAAAACAACTCCAAGACAGTACCAGTGTGTCTGCAGTCAAGGCTAGAGCAAAGATCACGCCTGTAAATAGCATGAAGAGTGAAGCATAGCGTTGACTAACACAATGCTGGGAAGGCCATGGAAGAAGTCCATGCAGCAACAAGGAGGGAGTCCACGCTGCAGCAAGGAGGAGTCCACGCTGCAACAAGGAGGAGTCCACACTGCAACGAGGAGTCCACGCTGCAACAAGGAGGGAGTCCACGCTGCAACAAGGTGGGAGTCCATGCTGCAACAAGGTGGGAGTCCACATTGTAACAAGGAGGGAGTCCACGCTGCAACAAGGAGGAGTCCACGTTGTAACAAGGAGGGAGTGCAAGCTGCAACAAGGAGGCTGAGGAAGGAATGCCCCATGGGAAAGACAGCACCAAGGAGCAGAATGCCATCAAGGAATGGAGAAATCTTAGCCAGAAGAAGTCTTCACAGACATCAGATGACCAGGGGAGCACCCTAGGAGCCCAGCCCTGGATAACAGAATGGGGCATTCCACCAGGAAACCCCAGAAGTGGAAACCACTTCCATTTTCTTTCATAGCCAGGCTGTGATGATGCTGCCCTGTAAGCACAGCACTTGGGAGGCAGAGGCAGACAGATTTCCATGAGTTGGAGGCCAGCCTGGTCTACCTCGAGAGTTCCAGGCCAGCCAGGGCGACATAGTGATAGACTCTGTCTCAAAAGAGTAGATTCTGAATAGAAAGAATTTTAAAATGGAAAGAAATAGGCAAATCCTTCGTTCAGATCTTAGGGGCAGGGTCCTGGGATATCATAGCAGTAAGATCCCAAGAGTAAGATCTTTTAAAATTCAGAAGTGCCGTTCCTAGGGAGTGGGGAGGCACAGATGGCCTTGATCCCTCCATAGTGGTCCCAGCTCTGTTAGGGTCAGGAATGGGTTCTCATGGGCCTCGCTTGCTATTGGGATCTGGCGGTAGTCATGGAGGCCTGGGGCTTTCAGGGAAGCCACAGAGGCCACTAACCACTGTGCTGGAAGACCAGTGCCCTCTGGTGGTGAAGAGAGGATCCTGTCTGGCAAAACCTTGAAACCTGCCTGTGGATTAGGTACTGGAGGTCCTTACTGCTTTTCTGTCTGTCATGTGTATGTGTTCCAGGTAAAGCAGACAAACAACCCCCTCCAAATCAAACAAACAATCACCACCAGGCTAGTAAAGTGTATTTTGCCACAAGTAGTTTATTTTCTGGGTGTTTTGCTTTCTTTTGTATTTGAGACAGGGTCTTATGTAGCTCAGGCTGGCCCTAAATTCTCTTTGTAGTTGAAAATGGCTTTGAACTCCTGATCCCCCTGCCGTAGCTTCCTGAGGGCTGGGATTACCAGTGTGCGACACTCATCCCAGCTGGACTTTAGAAACAGTATATGTGTCTGGGTGTGTTTCTACACGCCACATGCATGCAGGTGCCTGTGGAAGCCAGAAGGCAGTACTGGACACTCTGAGGCTGGAGTTACAGACCGTTCTGAGCCAACCTGGAGATGCGGTAATCAGACCCAGACACTCCACAGGAGGGGCACGCGCTCTTAGTCTTAACTACTGTATTAAGGCTGTCTAGAGTAGCAGACTTATAGAATGGATCTCCTTTTCTCTATATAAAGAAAAGGGATTTATCAGGGCCACTCACAGGCTATGGTCCAACTAACCCAACAATGGCAGACTGTGAACAGAAAGTCCAAGAATCTAGAAGTTGCTCAGCTGGTCTTCAGATGACTGGCATCCCGAAGAAGTAGGTGGCAATGCCATTGAAGGAGTGAACTTGCTAGCTAGGCTAGAGCAAACAAGCTAAGAGCAAAAGCTTCCTTTTTCTTCCATGCCCTTATATAGGCTTCCAGCAGAAGGTGTGGCCCAGATTAAAGGTGTGTCTTTCTGCCTTGGTTTGGATCAAAGGCAGTATGTCTTCTCACCTCAAAGGTCCAGACTAGAAGTAGATTAATGTAACTGGAGGTTTCTCTCCTGCCCGCCAGTTCCTGAACAACCACTCTGAGGCTTAATATTAATTACAAACTATTTAGGCTAATAATAAGCTCAGGCTTATTATTAATTAGCTCTTACAACTTAAAATAACCCATTTCTATTATTCTATATTTTACCATGAGGCTCATGGCTTACCCTCACATCTCGCTTCTCTGGCAGCTGCTGGCATCTCCCAAATTCCACCTTCTTTTTCCCTGTCTCTTTGCTTGGATTTCCTATTTGGCTTTATTCTGCCTGGCTACTGGCCAAATAAGTTTCTTTATGGTATCCAATTTTTAAAATTTTATTTATTTATTTATTTATTTGTTTTTTTGAGACAGGGTTTCTCTGTAGTTTTGGAGCCTGTCCTGGAACTAGCTCTTGTAGACCAACCTGCCCTTGAACTCACAGAGATCTGCCTGCCTCTGTCTCCCAAGTGCAGGGATTAAAGGCATGCACCACCACCACTCAGCATGGTAACCAATGTTAATAAAACATATTCACAGCATACAGAAGGGCATCCCACATCAGATTTACTCATTTTGAACCAAGCAAAAAAAAAAATCTCTCGGGGCTGGAGAGATGGCTCAGAGGTTAAGAGCATTGCCTGCTCTTCCAAAGGTCCTGAGTTCAATTCCCAGCAACCACATGGTGGCTCACAACCATCTGTAATGGGTCTGGTACCCTCTTCTGGCCTACAGTCATACACACAGACAGAATATTGTATACATAATAAATAAATAAATAAATATTTTAAAAAAATCTCTCACAGGTGTGCCCTTCATTTCTGGATTGTAGTTCATTCCAGATGCAGTTGGGTTGACAACCAAGAGTAGCCATCACAACTAATAAGCAATCTCTTTACCAACTCCTACCTAGCTTAAAACAAAAACAAAACAAAACAAACCCTTCAAATATCTTTCCGTGGGGGCTGGGAAGATGGGTCAGTGGGTTAAGTGTCTGCTGTGCAAACATGTGGACACGATTCAGATACCAACACCCATATAAACCAGGTATGGCAGTGTGCACCTATAACCACAGTGCTCTGGGGATTGAGAAAGGGGTCCCTGGAGGTCACCGGCCAGCCAGTTTAGCCAGTCTTTGAGCTCTGGGCTAAAAACAAAAACAAAACAGAAAAGTAGTGTTATAGAGGAATACACTTGACTTCAGCCTGCCTTGTACATGGATGTGCACACATATCACATTTACACACACACACACACACCTCTACCTGCGCACTCACACACACAAACACAATGCACACACAAACACACATGCACACACACAAGCACATATGCACACACTCAAGCACACACACCTCTACCTGCACACACACACATGCACACATGTACATACATGCACATACACACACAAGCACACATGCGCACACACACACTTTTCCCCAGGACAGGCAACAGCTGATAAATTGAATGTCTGAAAAAAAATTATTTTAGGGTTGGAGAGATGGCTCAGAGGTTAAGAGCACTGGCTGCTCTTCCAGAGGTCCTGAGTTCAATTCCCAGCAACCACATGATGGTTCACAACCATCTGTAATGAGATCTGATGCCCTCTTCTGGTCTGCAAGTATACATGCAAGCAGAACACTGTATATGGAATAAATAAATATATCTTAACAAAAAATTATTTTATTCTGATGGATTCTAGAATCAGGATTACAAATTTAAAATGGCTCTTGCAGATCTTTGGAGCATCTGACTGTGGTCTGCAAGTGGCCACTGAGCAGCCTACCGCCATCTATCTTATCCGTCCATCCTTGACTCTAGGTGACCCGTCTTCACCTGAGCTTTTATCCTAGAAGCTTTTACAGTCCCCCCCCCCAATCTGTGTAAAATTATCCCTTCAAACTGCTATAACAAAATGCTTTAGGCTAGGCCACTTATATGCAACATAACTATTGTTCACAGTTCTTTTTAAAAATGGCAATTGTTTCCATTGTTTAAATAAACATACACATGTATATTCTGAGACAAGTTCTCACTCTTAAGCCTAGTGGCTTTAAACTTACAGCAATCCTCCTGCCTCAGCTTCCCAAATGCTGGAATTGTAAGTGTGTGTCCAGGTTAAACATGAATACTTAATGCATACTTGAAGGCGGGAGGGCCAAGGCTCTTGAGACTGGACAACATGATCTCTAGAGGGAGAAGAAGATAGTCTCATGCTACATAGCTTTGGACACTGGTGTCTGGAGGTGAGGGAAAGAATGACCTCATAAGAGCAAGTAGTTGGGGACAAGAGATCTGACCTCAGCCCTGCTGGTTCCTCTACTTACTCATTTATAAGTCCCTCCCACAGCCTCAGTTTCCTTGACTATAAAATGGGTAACTGGGGCTCAGAGTCAAAGGGAACCTTCTCCGTTCTGATATTTACAGACCCTGAGTTAAGCCTGGCAGTTGCTGTCTCTCCCACAAAGCTAGCGCGTTAATCAACTATACTGTGGGCGCATTTTCATACTGCTTCCTCTCCTTCTGCTCAAGGTGTCCCCAGAAAAGAAGACTAAGGATGACCCTGAAGAGAGCTGTACCCCTGAGTAAGTATGGAGAGGGGCTATGTGTCCTCCACAAGCCCACAGTGCTCCCATTCCCGTCGCCTCAAAGCTCTCCCGTCCCTACCATCCCCAGCGTCCCCACCATCCTGCAGGTCAGTGAGGCTCAGGCAGAGCTGGGCTGTCAAGGGGAGCCTAGGGAGGTCACAGCCCAGTCACTCACAGCAGCACTGAGTTTCCTCCTGGATGCGGTCATGACCTGGCTTCCCTGTGGCCATTCTGGACCCTTCAGGTTCATTCAGATGTACTCACGTGTCCCACTTGCTCTACCTAGTGGTTTTATCTGTAAAGAGTGTCCTTTGCTGTAAGGACTTCAGAGCCTAGACAGTGACAGTAACCTCCAGCAGCTCCAGAAAAAGTCATCAGCAGGAAAATGCACGTTAAATTCCTGTAAATTTCATGCTTGGTGCTGCCAGGCTGGTAGCTCGAGACAGGGTTTCTCTGTACCTTTGAAGCCTGTCCTGGAACTAGCTCTTGTAGACCAGGCTGGCCTCGAACTCACAGAGATCCACTTGCCTCTGCCTCCTGAGTGCTGGGATTAAAAGCGTGTGCCACCACCGCCCCGGCTTGGTGGCTCAGCTTCTAACCGCAGTATTGGGGAGGCAGAGGGAGGAGTTCCAGGCTAGCCAGGGCTACATAGTGAGTCCGTATCCCAAACAAACAACCAACCCACCCCAAAGCCTGCAAGTGGTGGCCCAGAGCCTTTCATCCTCCTCAGAGGGCTGGGAATACAGGCCAGGGAGAGAGCGTTTGCCTGGCATGGGCAATGCCACAGAACGACTGCCCAGTACAGAGAGAAAGTGGGCAAGGCGGCAGATGACTCAGCAGGTAAAGGCGCTTGACTACCTGAGTTAAATCTCACAAAACCGCATTATAGAAGGAGAGAACCCAACACCCGTAAGTGTTCTTCAAACTCTATTGTGCACCATAGCACAATGCCTATACATATATGTACACACTCACACAAGTAAGTACACGTGAACAAACACACCAAAGAATGTCCGTGCTTCTAGTCCTCTAGAGCACAGGGACCATGGAGCTGTTGACAGCCTCCTCTGCTGGGCCATGTCCCTCCTCCCTCTTCCTCTCTGGGGTCCCATATATCAGCATGCCTGGTGGGAGCAGACAGAGTGTGGGGGAGGCTACGGCCAGTCTCCAGTGACCTTGGGTACCATCTGCCCTGAAAGGTTTCAGCTTTCACATCTATACATGCCAGCGACTGACAGGGGTAACCCTAGAGGGGCTTGTTCCTGTCAGGGGATTCCAGAATGCTCTGGCATTCTGGCAGGGCAGCCAGCTTCCTGCACAGCTCTCTGGCTTGTTCTAAGGGTGTGCTGAACCTGTGATTTGCATTCCTTCCCCCTACCAGCAGTCAATAGAGACTCCCCAGGACCAGGCTGAAAGGGCAGTCGCTACCATTGTTCTAAGCTTGCAAGGCTGCAAACAGCTCTCACGCACACTGTCGCAGGCTTGCAAGGCTGCAATTCTCATACACACTTACTACTACTGTTCAGTCCCTCCTAAGCGCTCATCTCTGTTTAGACACAAGCGGCACTTCAGCCAACCTCAGTCTGGAGGTGGCAGTCCTTCCTCTTACTGCCAGAGACTGGAGCAAGGGACAAATGGTCCAGGGCCATACAGTTACTGAGCATCAAAGCCTGTTGAGATCTGTCCTCCCCCGAAGCCCTTGGATATTCCCCTTTGCTCCACAGACACAGCAGGGAAGAGTGCTTTGGCAGCAGGCTGATCTCAGACTATTAAGCTGTGGTACTCAGGCCTCTCATCCATGTTTTGGGAGACGTATACAGAGCCCTGGACTCCATTCTCGGAAGGTCAGCCAGGAGCATTGGATGGAGCTTGGCGTCTACCTTGGCCTGCCCTGTCCTCATTGCAGGTCTTGGTGGATAAAATGGGAGGACGAAGGCAGATATGAGCGACGATGACCGTGTCTATGTGTTAGGTTGGAAGAGGTTCGGGTGTCTCCAGATCAAAGGTTTTTGGTTTGGATGTTAGGATGAACCACTTAAAGACCACTGTGGCTGCCAGAGGAAACGCGAGTTTGAAGGTGATACCCACCCTTGTCTGTGTTTCTCACCCACAGAGCCCCAAGCAGCAGCCACAAGAGACCTGAGGGGCAGTCGGCCATCTCCTACGATTACTCGGAGGAGGAGCTGATGGCGAGCATCGAGCGGGAGTACTGCCGCTGAGCTGGCTGACCAGTCTTGGTCACCACGGGCCAGGCTTTGCAGGCCTGTGAGCTGGGCTCCACCCGTGGCCCAGCCGGAGAGAAACCACTTCTAGAATACAGCTCTCTTTCCACGCTGGTCTCCAACAATTTGCGATCAGAGTCCTGCTGCTGGCCTAGCAGACCAAAACTAAGGGCAAGCAGGCCCTGGGCCACAGCTGTGGGGGCGCTGGCGCCTCCTCTCACACAGGGGGAGCCTGGCTGTGTGGTTCCCCTGAAATCTTTCTGCTTACTCACTTTCCAAGTGAGGAAGGGTCGGTGCTGGCATCCCTGTATGACATGAGCTTGTGGTGGGAAGCAGAGCTCATCGATGCCCTCTCTGGGCCTCTATTTCTCTCTGGGGGAGGGGGGTGGTGATCTTGGATGTTCTTTGAGACCTTTCAAGACCTTTCAAGCCGTCAATCTGGCAGCTCCATCGTCCAACCCGTCATCTCCCAGCTGCCAGTGTGCTTTGGCTATCCTGCTGAGTGCAGAACCATATAGGAGCCGAGAGAGGGAACACACACCCGGATAGGGCTTCATGGCAACTGCTCTCCAGGATTCCTTTTGGCTGGCAGTCTGCCTGAGGGCTGTGAACCTCTTCTCCCTCTCCCAGCTTGGGTGGGAGGCAGTCAGGATAATGATGCCAGAAGAGCTTTCAAACATCCCCAGTGGACAGATGGGGAAATGCAGAGAGCCTATGGGAAGGAGGTAGGGCTTGTGTGGGCCCTGTAGGGCCTGGCGCTTGCTCAGGTGTCTGTGGAAGCACTGGCACAGCTGGCGAGGGTGCTGGCAGAAAGGCTTCAGAGATCTGTGAGTGGCGGCACATGCTGACAGTCACAGCCACCAGGCCAATGCTAGAGGACTCCTGAGAATGGAAGGCTACATAGTGAATTCAAGACCGGCCTGGACTATGTAGTGAGATTCTGTCTCCGAAAACAGAGTAGAGGATGTGGGAATAGTAGTAGCTCCGGCCGAAGCCAGGACAGGTCTCAGCTTCTGTTGCATCCCCTACCAAGACAGTGCTCTCCCCCAGTATCCTTCCTCTGCTGAGAGCTGCTGCTGGCCCGCGAATCCTCAGAGCTCAACATGGAGCATCTCAGGAACCAAGAAAGAATGGTCCCTAGGGCCGTCCCCACATCCACAGTCCTTTGCTGTCACCTGAAAATGATTCCGTGAACTCCTAGGACTTGACAAGAGTGCCTCTGAGTTTGCAGCTGGGAGACCTGTGCTACGGTTGGAGCCCAGAGCCACCGGGTGCCTACCAGTTGGCTGAGCATTAGGTCAAAACCTCCCAGAGCTGGAAGCTGCTTCTCACCGAAGCTCAAAGCACTGCTTTTGATACGAAGATGGAATTTGTTTCTATTTTGATATTTACCCTAAATATTACAAATGCTTATTTTAAAAGAGGTTAAAATATTACATTTTTACCAAAGAATGAATCAGACTTTGAAGTTGATGTGAGTATTTACAGCTTTATGTGTCATATTTGAGTGGGCATGTTCATCTGACTAAGAAAAAAATGGGGGCCGGGCGGTGGTGGTTCACGCCTTTAATCCTAGCACTCAGAAGGTAGAGGCAGGCAGATCTCGGTGAGTTCGAGGCCAGCCTGGTCTACAGAGGGAGTTCCAGGGCAGCCAGGACTGCACAGAAAAACCCTGTCTCAGAAAACAAATAAATGAACAAACAAACCTCCCTCAGCTCCAAGGATGTCCTGAACAGTGGCTACCCAGAGCAAAGTGTGTGCCAACTGGTGAGCTGTGGTCCTGGGAGACTCAGGCTCTGGAGAGGCTGGTCCTGCCAGAGGTGGGCTTGGGTATCACTGGAGCCCACAGGAGTACTTCCTGCACTGCCCAGTACCCACTGATATCCCATATTGCATTGCTGCTTCACGGTTAGCTACCCATGTTGTTTCCCCAGCCACGCGCCCAGCTCTAAGCAGAGTGTGGGATCTGCCTACGCACAGCATGAGCTGACCCTGGTTCTCATCACAGAAAGTCTAAGTGACCACAGATGGTCACCAGCTCTGCAGGAGCTCTCCCCCAAGATGTGCTTGCGAAAACCGGACCCCTTCGGAAATCTGGGTAGATTTTTCTGTACATATGGGCAGAACCTTGAGAAGCCCCTAGGCCTCGGCTCCTGTGTTCATGGGTTCTCAGCTCAGCTCAGAAGGAGCCTCCCACACCAGCAGATTGGCCAAAACTGCCTGGGACAAGCCTTTATTTATTTATTTATTTATTTATTTATTTAAGATTTATTTTATATTATGTATACAGTGTTCTGTCTGCATGTACACCTGCAGGCCAGAAGAGGGAACCAGATCTCATTACAAATGGCTGTGAGCCACCATGTGGTTGCTGGGATCTGAACTCAGGACCTCTGGAAGAGCAGCCAGTGCTCTTAACTACTGAGCCATCTCTCCAGCCCCTGGGACAAGCTTTTAGCACCCTCTTTTTTGATGTTCCCAATTTCCAGAAGCACATTTCCTGAAATGATGTCCAGGAGTCCCACCCACTCCTGGGGATTCTGGGATTCATGAATGATGTCACCGCCCCCCTGAGAAAGCACTCTGGAGACCAGGTGTCTATCAGCAGTAGCGTGCGAGACCAGCGGTTGAGTGTCAGGTCTATGGGGGTATTTTTCTTGTCAAGAATTGGACAGAAATAAAATGCAGTGATTATTTTTTAAAGGGCCAAGGTGATGGCTTGGCAGGTAAAAGCTTTTGATGTCAAGCCTGATGACATGAGCTCCAGCCCCAGAGGGCCTGGTGGAAGGAAAGAGCCAACTGCTGCAGACTGTCCTGATGCCCACATGCATGATGGCATGGCATAATGCACTCACAGCAATACACTTCCCCCTAGATGTGTACGTACATCTATATCTATCTATCTATCTATCTATCTATCTATCTATCTATCTATCTATCTATCTATCTATCTGCACACAGGGGGAAAGTATCGCTGGGTGATTCTGAGCATTGAAGAGCAGAAATAACGTTTTAAAGTATTGTTATTACATTTTGTGTGCACACATGCACGTGTGTCTGTAGTACATGGGTGTGTATGCCATGGTGCAGGTGTGGAAGTCAGAGGACAATTTGCAGGAGGTGCTTCTCTCTTTTCACCATGTGAATTCCAGTGAGCAAACAGGTGCCCTTGCTCGGTGACAGGTGCCTTAGCCATTGAGCCCTCCTGCAAACCCACAAACCACCTATTAGACTCTGAAGGTTAGTTGCTTCCTCTAGGAAGAAGGTTCCATAACTAGACCTTTTTTGGGGGTGCTGGCCTGAATCTTGGGGAAAACTTGGCCTTGAGAGGCAGGAAAGAACTGTTTCCTAGTGTGAAGAAATCCTTCTTTTGTGGGTGGTAGTGGCACACACCTTTAATACCAGCACTCAAGAGGCAGAGGCAGGCAGATTTTTGAATTCGAAGCCAGCCTAGTCTACAGATCAAGTAGGACAGCCTAGGGTTACATAGAGAAATTCTTTCTAGTGTTGGCAAGGAAGCATTGCCCTCTCTTGGGCATGGAGCCTTGGGAAGGACAGAGAAGCCCTTGAGCTCCCAGAGGTACTTGGCCCGAGGTCTGTATCCCAAAGTTGTTGGTGGCCTCAGGATGGGACCCCACAGTTGCACATGCAGAAACGGAAGCAGAGCGTGTGGTTGCCTGTGGCATTAATTAGGGGAAGCCAGATCTGACTGCCCAAGGCCAGTTCCAACTCTCAACAGTGACATCCTGTGGTCATGAGAAGCAGTAGCAACCTGGACCAGGGCTCCGCCCCTGGGAGAAGTTGGAGGTCCAGTTGGGGGCTAAGGAACAAAGCCCCCCAGGAGTCAGGCTACCTCTTGGGAAGGGAGACGGCCAACGGAGGAAGGAGGGAAGGTATTTGCCTCTCCTCCATCTGCCGGGAAAGCCTCTGTTGATTCTTTAAGTTAGCAAGAGTAATTGTTGTGTGGGACTTCTACAGCAGGCAGAAGGCACAGTCCATGCCAGGCTTTGTGCTGCCAGGCCCTGGACAAATAAAACAGTGGTGAGGTCGACCATGTGTCTGGGAGGCACAGGAGGGGTAAGTCACTGAGCTGCTCGCTAGGAAGGGTGGCTTTCGGATCAATCTGTCTGCAAGCGCCCAGGAGCAATAGGGGAGACTAAACCCTGCGCATGGTCTCTGGGACTCGGCTCTTGCTATGTCTCAGGGGCACTGGTACCCATCTCTCCCGCCTCTGAGGCCTGAATGGCGAATGCTCTACATTGCAAAGTCCAGCCAGATACCAAGAGGCAGGGAGGGAGGACACACGGAATCTCCATCCTGGGCCCTGCTGTGGATGGGCGCTGGTTGGTAACTGTGGAGATGGAAGCCCTGTCTCTATTACGCTGCATTAGGTAAAAGTGGAAGTCCTACTGCTGTTGTTATTATGCTCAAACTGTCACAGCTTGCCTGCAAGAATTCTTATGAGTTGACTTCTTTGCCACTGTATTGCTTCCTCCGAAATAGATTAGAGTCCCCCAAATAAGAGTTCAAGTTAGGTCAATACATGATGAATCTCCTAGATTCATATGAAGACTGTGTGCATTAAGTCACTGTACACAATTGCACAACACAGCACACAAGCCAAGTCTGCAAACCAAGAAAGTTTTATATGATTCAAAGCAAAAGGTTACATCACACATACCCATTTAAATAAGTCTATTACATAAAACATAAGCATTTGAAACATTTAAATTTTATTACTAAAACTACCAAAAGGCTCAACAAGGTAAAAAAAAAATCAAATCAAGCAGAACTGCTCAAGCAATAAAGTGCACTGGGGGGACCTCAGCATGAGGGGGTGCCTCAACATGAGGGGGGACCTCAGCATGAGGGGGTGCCTCAGCATGAGGGGGTCAGCGAGGGCGCTCAAGGGAGCAGGGCCCTCCTAGGGCTCTGCGGCTCAGGAGTCCTTTTCAGATAGGAAATGTTTTCCAACTCAGTCTTTCAGTAGACAGACAGTGGGGGTTCTTCTGCAGAAGGGATTTCTAAATCTAATCAGGAAATGGAACCCTATGGTGTTTCAACACATCGGTTATTTCAGAGACAACACTGGTCGGGGAACTGAAGTTCTGTGTGACTCACGGAAACACGGGGACAGGACACACCACTCTGCGTGTCATGGTGAAGACGATCGCACTGGACGCCATTTACCGTTTGCACAATCGCCAGCGTGGAGGACAGGACTGGGGTACTGGGACACTTGGGAGCTATGTACAGTCAGTTCTCCCGCGGTTCCATCATGTGGAAAGACAACAGCGATCTGGAGAACTGTCCAGACACTGCCTAAACACACACACCTACAAAACTCAGAGACTACCAAAGGCAGCCTAACAGGGATCAAGTAACAACATACAATGCATGACCACGAGACGGTTCTATAAGGCTCAAAAGACCTGAACGTAAAACCTCATTTTATCTATTTAATATTTCAACCTTGCCATCATTTAAATAAAGTTCAATGCCAATATTAAAGGGCAAATACAAAATCTAATACAATACCACACAAAAATATCCTCAGGCTGCCCAAACAGTGCAGTATCTTGTTCTCACTTACTGTACTGCCTGAACTTCCCTAGCTCTAACTAAAGCCAGTTTTTGTGGCCATTTGGACACACGGAGGCCACTCTGTGCAGGATACATGCTCACAAGGTATAGAGCAGCACCTGCGATCTGCTTTCAGGCTAGCTACAAAATCCCCATTCCATGTCTTCTCAGTTGAGCAAAACCATTTCCGTCCCACACAGTGAGTGGAAGGGCAACTGAGTGGCTGCCCCTGCCACTTAGCAAAGCAAGCACTTCTTGGCGTTCTGTCCATTGTTAGAAGGCATCTGAACCCCAGAGCTTACTGGGCACGCATGCTTGCTGTGCGTAAGCTGCACTTAGGTGGAAGGTTTATCCAACTTGCTTTTATCTGCGTGGTCACTGAACCAATCACGCGGTACAAAACCACACCAGAAGCCAACAGACAATCTACAGAGCTTCGGTGGCCGCATTCCTGGTTTTTGGTGCTTAAGTACAGACAGGCCATGGGATCATTTGCTCTTGGCAGACAAATGGTCTAAAAGTCAACACTGTGCATTCGTCTCACCTTAGGTGGCCAACTTGGCACACCCTCCACAGGGACGTTGGACACACGTGGCTAGTTCACCCAACTAGCACTGCGGTTCTGTGGGCTATAGGACCAACTGCTAGAATTTACTGATACAAAGAAGCTGACTACAAAGCTTATTTTTCCCCTTTAAGAGCTCGCTAGTTATGTATTTATGTATTTATTTATTTATTATGTATACAAGAGCTCTTTATTAAACCAGTTCTGATCTAAAACATTTGCTATAAAAAGGCTGGTAACAAAGTTGTGGATTTTGATTTTTTTTTTTTCTGACTAACTACCAAGAGTACTTAAGCAGGGTCATTACAAAACTTTGTTATAAAACATGGAAAAAGAAGGCGGTAAAACTGTCTACCCAGAAATTGGTGATTCGAGCACAGTATAAATATTTTTATAAAAAAGTATAAAAATTAGTACCCTGTCTCATTTCTACAAAACATAGAATAGAAAGGTTGTTTAAAAAAAAAAAACCCAGACTCTGTAAACTTTATTGCCGAAATAGTTGCTTGAATGCTGGTGATTTAGATCAAATTTTCTTCCATTTCCTCACAAAGAAAGAGAGACGGAGAGACAGACAGAGCGACAGAGACAGAGCAAGACGGGGAGTCAGCGCAGACACTACAGACTGAACAGGGCCCAGCCAGAAGAGTTAATGTACTTCCATCAGAACCAGCTCCCCTTCAACAGCCCAGAGACCGTATTTTTGTTTGTTTGTTTTGTTTTTGTTTTTTTGGGAGGAACACACAGGTCCCATTCCTCATTCCTGAAGAGGCGTCTGAAGAAGCCCACAGGTGATGGGCAGCATGGACCCTCTCAGCCCGAGGCCGGCAAGGGCTCGAGGATGCTCCCTGGGCTCTCTGACAAGGCAATTCTGTTCAGCTTGCCCACCTCTGCCTGCCAACCTGGGATCTTCTTGGTCGTCATGTGGCGCCGGGCGTGCTTTGTCAGGTGGTCGCTCCGCATGAAACGCCGCTCACACACAGGGCACACAAACTTCTTCTCCCCTGTGTGGGTTCTGCGGTGGCGAGACAGTTCATCTGACCTTGCAAACTTCTTGTCACAGCCGTCCCAGCTGCAGGTAAAGGGCTTCTCCCCTGGCGGAAAACAAACTAAAGTAAGAGTGCGCACTCAGCACCTTCCCGAGGGCTGCTCACAGGTCTCTTCACCACACCTCAGAAGAGGGACACCTGCCTGGGTGGCTCAGGAGTCAGCAAATCCTCCACCAAACACTTCTTCCGACCCCGCGGTGTGCATGCCAAAGCCCACAGGCATCACACTAGGCTAATTGTTCAAACATTTTACCCATGCACATTTGTGTAGCTTCGTGTTTTGCTTTTCTGATGAAGACTCATTATGTAGCCCGGGCAGGTCTGGAACTTGGAATCTACTTCAGTACTGGAGTTAGAGGCATGTGCCACCACCCTGGTTTTAAAGATGCATTTTAAGAAGAGAAAAAAAAAAAATCTCTTATACTCGGGGAAGACTTTTATGAGACAGGGTCTCACTATGTAGCCCTGGCTGGCCTGAAACTCGGTACAACTCAGAGATCCTCCTGCCTGAGTGCCGGGATTAAAGGCGTGTGCCATCATCCCTAGTTTTTTTTCTTTGACAGAGTTGTGCTAAGTAGCCCAGGCAGGCAGGGAACTTAAGAGATCGTCCTATCTCCAGACAATACTGCTTTTTTTGTGGTGGTGGGGGGGCGCGGGTAGGCAGAGACAGGGTCTCATGAAAGCCAGGACAGCCTCCAACACCCTGTATAGCAAAGGAAGGCACTGAACTTCTGAGTCTCCTAACTCCACCTCTTACGTGCTGGGACCAAACCTGGAGCTGCATGCATGCCAGGCAAGTACCCTCCCAACTGACTCCCATCCACAGATGTGGGAGGAAAATTCTTCAAAAAAAGAATCCTTTCTCTCTTGGGATAAACTGCACACCTCCCAGAAAGTCCTTCCAAGAGGCTTTAAGGCTTCTTAGAATCATTATTTCAAGTCCGTATTTCTTATCACACGGACAACCAGGTTATATTAGTTATTTTCTATGTTGTTAGAAGTATTTAATTACTTTCCATATTGCCGACAAAAGTAAATTAAGGGAGTTTATTCTGGCCCCACTGGAGGGTACAGGTCCATCACAGTGGGAGGAGCTTGCGGCGGCTGGTAATAATGGGTTCACAGTCCAGAAGCAGAGAGATGAATGCCCGTGCTCAGCTATCCAGTCCAGAGCCCCAGGTAACGTGGGTCCTTGTCTACCAGGTGACACTAGATCCTGTCAAGTTACCAATATTAACCACACAGGAGGCAGAGTTACACACACACACACACACACATACACACACACACATAAAGGTTTGTGTTCTAACAGACACTTTCTGGTTAGATGTTTTAAATGGTTATCAATGCTTCTGAGAAGTTGCCCGGGTGGTGTCTTATTATCTTCCTGGAGTTGGAGAGATAAGGGGGCCTTCAGGCAGGTAGATACTGGAGCCCCCCACCTTCTTTTTTTTCCAATGAACTCCTGTTCCAGCCAGCACAGGGCCAGGCCCTTCTTTGTATCCTGACACCTCCCTACCTGGCTGTGGCAATCACAGACTACATACATGCACGGGGGTTGATTTGCTAGAGAGCTATGAGCTGCTATGCGATCTGTCTCTCTGCGGATTTCCTACAGCAGGTAGCAGATAAATCAGTTCTGAAGGGACACTAACTCCAACAGTCCTCAGAGTTACAGAAAATCCAGCAGTGAGCCTTCCTGTTCCACGCTTTCAGAATCTTCATGGTAAGCCCGGAGTGGCTAACATGGTTTCACTATGACCCCAAACTCTACACCTTGGAAATATAATCCCAAGGTCATACACTACTGATACTTAACAGGTAGGCTCTTTGGTCGCTGATGGGGTCCTGAGCCCTGGAGTTATAGATTAACAGAGTCACGGGAGCAGCTGTTATAAAAGCAAGCTCTCTGGCATATGAACCCCGTTGTACCCGATGATGCCCTCTTGTACACTGGGAATGTTGCAGGCTGGCCCTCAGAGATGACAAGAACACATGCTTTTAGACTGGCAATTCCAGAGCCCTGAACTTGGTAGACTTCTTTCTTAGATTCTTTCAAAACATCCATCAGCAGACACAGACAGCGGCACTTCCCACTCCTGCTTCCCTAAGGTCAGCAGCATACCCAGTGCCCAGGAGCTGCTCAGAGACTGCCAGCCCCTGAGTACACGATTTAGAAAATTCCGTGTTTTCAGTCAAAATGGAGTACCCGTTCACCTCACCTCCTTCACTGTGAAATATTGTTCAGGTTGGTGGACGAACTTGAAACACAGTCTTTATCTGAAATAAACCCACCCGAAGTTCCAGATCTTAGGAGAACGCCAATGGAGGAACTCCACTGGCAACTCCATGAGAACTCCAATGGCAGAACAGTGGGACTCAGAGCCCTCAGCTCATTCAAACTGCTCTTACTTCTCTGAAGAGCATAGAAAAACTGGCTTTCTCTCAAGTTTTACAGCTCTGTTAGTATTTTTATCTGGGAAAACTGATGCAAAGTTCATCTAGATAGACAAAGTAAAAAAAAGGGGGGCTCACCACGCCCAAGAGCCTACTGAACAGAAAAGGAGGTTCACAATGTCAAAGAGCCCACCAAACAGGTCACCCCTTCATCTGACATAGCCACCAGAATGACCTTGCTGAAGTGCCAACCAAAGTTTGTTTACTAGAGTGGCACCGGGAATTTATACGCACTGGGACAGTCATCTAATGGTACAGAGACAAGGAGACAAGCTCACAGGTTAGAGAGCACGCAGCTCTTGCAGCACACCCAGCACCCAGTAGAACCCAGCACTCAGAGCAGCAACTTACAACCACCCATAACTCCAGCTCCTGCGGAGCCAAACCTGCCGGCCACTGCACTCAGACACATACAGAAACACCATTTTAGAAACAGCAAAAGTTGGGTGTGGTGGCACACACCTGTAATCCAAGTATTCATGAGGCAGAGGCAGGTGGCTTTCTGAATTCCGAGCTAGCCTGGACTACAGAGCAAGTTCCAGGATGGCCAGGGCTACAAGAGAAAAGGTGGTGAGACACACAATACCCATGGAATCAAAGAGGAAGGACACGAACAAACACTCACCAGCTGATTTGGGGCAGGCCCTGAAAGGGTCTCAATAGGCAGGGGTTGGGGGCGGGCTAAGGTGGATGCGTGGAAACACGTGGGAAGATGAGAACAAGAGGTTGTGTTTGCTCTGACAAAGAGACAAGTACCTCACGGGACAGGTGTAGGGCCCACGTCCTAGAGCCACCCACGGCTCCAGAGTACGAAGGAATGACTCTTTCTTGACTGTCTGAACACCAGGGTGCACACTGCTTGCTCAGCAAGCGGAGTCGCCATGGCCAGCGCGTACTGTGCTAATTAGAAGCCAGCTATGGCAACACTATTTTAAAATAAAACAGAGCAGTAACTCCTCCAGCCCCAGGCCTTCCTGTAGAAGAGTCTGCAACTCAGACATTCTCACGGGGACTGAGGGAAGATGCTCCAGGGTCATGAGTTTAGAGAGAGATGCACGCTTTACCGTAGATCCTCACATCTCTACATGTGTTTACATGTAAATACATGGTTCTCTAAAGTCAAGTGTAACAAGCAGACCACGTAACCATGGGGCCATTGAAAATGACAAACAACACATCAATTTGCAGAGGACCTGAGAAATGCTGCTCTACTCTACCAAAGTGGCTCTGCCCAGTGGCACTCGGCCCCTGCTGGACAGCGCAGCAGCCACCAGCTCCTGAAGCTACTTAAGTGTAAAACTTCAGCTGATGAGAATGTGCGATTGAGTTCCTCAGTCAAACCAGTCTGTTTCAAGTACATGTGGCGAGCGGCTACTCTAGCGGCTAGAGGATGTTTCCATGACTGAAGACAGAATTTAAAAATTAAAGAAACCCAGCAGGCTATTATAGCTTCTTACGTGACTTTTTTTAAATTGTAGGGGTTTCATTTATTTATGTCTATTGGTATTTTGCCATGGGTGTCAGGACCCCTGGAACTGGAGATACAGACAGTTGTGAGCTGTCATGTGGGTGCTGGGAATTGAACCCAGGTCCTCTGGAAGAGCAGTCAGCGCTCTTAACCACTGAGTCATCTCTCCAGCCCCTTGTGTGAATTCTTCAACTAAAAACTATATATTCTCAAAAGCAGAAAAAAAAAAACAAACCCAAACAAAACAAAAGCAAACAACAACAAAAACCCCCTATACTCTTAAAATATTATACAGTGAGAACTTTTGATGGCGTGGACAGACTTCCAAGTCACAGTGATGCTTATACTGAGTATGAACATAATGCTTATTGCAGTAAGGTAAAGAGTACCCTAAAACCATCACAAGCCCCCATTCTCTCCCCCAGCATCTCTCATGACCACCTGCTCATGACCCTGACTGCTGCAAGCCCCTCCGTTCCTCCTGCCTCTCTCCAGAGGTGCAGGGCGCTTTCCTCTCCCGAAGGTCTGGGGCTTCCATCACACCAGGCACCCTACCACTTACCCGTGTGGGTACGAAGATGAGCCTTGAGGTGGGAACTTTTGAAGTAGGTCTTCCGGCAACCTGGGAAGTTACAAACGTAGTTCCTCCTTCGGGAAAAGTCTACCTGAGGGGTACAGTTCTGGCTGGAGGCAATGAACATTGGCGCAGGGGCAAGGGGCAACAGCTTGGTATTTCCGATGGCCATGACACCAGAAGGGCAGGTAGCAGGCTGGGGGAAGGTGCTCTGAGGCAAGACCAACATCACAGTTCCCTGAGGCATAGATGGGCCCATGAACACTGGCTGGGGCACCGAAGCAGCTTGGGGTAGGATGGGCTTGACAATCCCTGCAGACAACTGGGGAGGAGGCTTCAAAAAAGCTGAGAACATGCCATTTTGTGCAGCCACGGGGATCATTTGGCAAAGGAAAGGGGGACTGGAGACAGGGACAGAAATCAGAGGGGTGGTTTTCCTTGACAAGTCACTTTCAGAATTCTTTGGTAAGCAGGTCTGAACAGCAGCCGGCCATCCTGTCTGCTGGCCTTGGTAGGTGGGGAACGGGACACCAGACTTGTGCAAGCAAGGCTGGCAGGAAACCGAGTTAGTAACAAGTAAACCGTCTGCCGAGCGCATATCCTGCAAAGCTTCATGATGGCCCGGCAGCCCTGCTTGTCTTTCTCTGCTGCCGGACAGTTGTTGCTCTGGAGTCAGGGCGGTCGGAAACACAGGACTCTCTCCAGTGTGACGGATCACACTGGTCATCACGGCCCTGCAGGAGGACCCAGAAGCGGGCTCTGGCGGCTCTCTTCTGCTAAGGGCTCTGCTGGCCTCGGTTGGGGATGGGGGGAGGACGGTGACCATGCATCCTTTGGAATTAGTGACTTGGGAAGTAACTGGGGTCCCTGTGGATGGCTCCATGAGTTCTGGGCTCTGAGGCGGAGTTATACACTTGAAGAGAAACAGAGAAAGAAAGCATCAAGTCAAAGGTCACGTTGGTCAAAGGAGCTTCAAGGAAATTGTCTGACTGCACTGCTCCCACTGCCTTGGAAAAGATGCATTTGGAGAGCACTAGGCTGAGCTGGACAGCCCAAGGAGTCTTTGGGGACTCTGCTATTCCCACTTCTTCCTATGTGGACTGCCCTTTCCCAGCCATGCACGTGCCTCTTTGGAAGGGATGGCGGTGTCTACCCTAGGTCATGTGCAGCTACTGAGAAGAGCAATTGAACTAAAAGGACTGTGAAAATTTCATATTTTAAAATGAAAGCTTTTCATTGGGTGGCAGTGGCGCACGCCTTTCATCCCAGCACTGAGGCAGCAGACGCAGCCATATCTCTATGAGTTCGAGGCCAGCCTGGTCTACAAAGCAAGTTCCAGGACAGCCAGGGCTATACAGAGAAACCCTGTCTCAAAAAAAAAAAATCAAAATGAAAGCTTTTCATGACACTTCAGGCTCTTAAAACAAGAAAAGAAATGGTGGCTCTACTGAGCCAAGCCTCTATGTACCCCAGCCAGTCATCAGTGGCCTTGGAAACGCCCAAGTCTGAAGACCTGAGGGGCTACTACGAGCCAGCCCATCTTTCCTCCAGTTCTCGCTGCCACTCATTCCTTTCCAGTTCCACCCTTCACGGCCTTCAGTGCAAGTTCCTAGCCCAGGTCAATCACTTCTCACTTTTATTACCATAAGCAATCTATAGCCTGATTTCTCCAACCCAAGAAGCAATTCCACAGGTGTGGCAAGTTAAAACCTAAAAATAAGATACTGACTTATCAACTCCAAATCCCAGCAGGTGGTCCCCGCAGGAAGGCAGAGTGACATGTTTCCACTCAGCTAAGCAGTCTGGTGTCAGAGCACATGCTTTCTTTAGCTGCTCTCCACATCCTCATCCTAGATGGGGATAACTCACGACCCTACTGTAAGACTCCCTAGACATCTGGTACACCACACCTTTCTGTAACTATCTTCACGCTTTGTCCAATGGACACTCGCTGCCGGCCAGCAAGTTCTGACTCACCAAGGAAGAGAAAACATTTTTAAGAGATGAATTTTCACACTTTGGTATCCATGTGATGGGGACTTCCTGGCTATATCATAGTTAATCTCCCTGCAAGATCTTCAACGTGATTTTATCTGAGCCGTTCTGGGCGGTTCGCGAAAATGCCTCGCTCCCCGACCTCCTCTTACCAGAGTTGAAAAAGAATGGAAGTCCTTTGGTAGATCAGGTGCCGCTGTGTCCATCAGCACAGCGGTGGTGACGTCACCAGAATCAGAGACAGGTGTGAGGGGTCTCATCTGGGATCTCTGACCCCAGGAGCTCATGCACACGAGAGCTTCCACAGCCTCGATGTCTGTCTGCTCCAGGATGCTGCATGTGGACCTTTCGCTGTCATGCCGTTTCCTCTCAAGGATCGACTCGCAGATATCCAGGATGTCAACCTAAAGGCGGCACAACACAGTGGCGTCTTAGTTCAGGAGAACGAGAGCGGTAACCCTGCCGGGCACGTGGATCTACCCCAGATGGAGTGTGCAACACTCTAACAAAGCCAAGAGGCTGTGTGGGAATAAAAAGACCCGAATGGAGCTCTCACGGCAACTTTGCCTTCAAGTTCTGAAGGTTGGGTTCGGTTAAGAAGCAGTTTCCTCAAGACAAAACAAAATAACCAAAACCCTGATTCTCAAAAAGTTTTCTAGACTGGGCTATTGATCAGTAGTGGGATGCTTGATTAGCATGTGTGACCCTGAGTTCAACACCCACCAATATAAACTAAAAATGAACAAAACATGTTACTAACCTCAAGCTCTTCTCGGGTGGATGATTAAGACTGACTCGAGAGGTACATGCCACCTCTAGAAAGGTGTCACAGGAAAGACAGACAGACAAACAGCTAAACAGCTAAAGCGGGTAAGGAGCCAGTTGGTGAATGAGATCTTCTATATCAAAAGTCACCAGGGTAGTGTCTCTAAGGAAGCATCACCCCAAGCTTAATTTCCCAGTGGCTGAACCTGGGTTCTATGTAAGTAGAGGCCATGGCAACTGCCTGTTTTCTCAGTAGATTCAGAAACGTTAAGTCACTTGTCACTCTCGAAAGCTAGGAGGAGGTGGGGTGAGCAGAACAGAGTGTGAAAGCTGGACCGCCTGGACGACCAGGAGCGGGAGGACGAAACTGGAACCCATCCCTTCCAAAAGAGAACCCTAAACCCTTGATCCATATGTTTCCACACATATTTTCTGAGCCTCCAACTTCCTATCCGTCCAGAGTCCCCTTCAGTGAGCAGATGAAGAGGCTACCTTTGCAAAAGGGCTGATCCAGGGCCATGGGGGACGCGGACTTCACCTCCCACCATGATAATTTGTCTCTGAGCCATCAAGTGGAATGTCCAGCCCACAGACTAGGAAAAGATGAATACAGACCCTAGAGTTCATGTACTGCTTGCTGTGTTCTCGACAGAAACAGACCACTCCCCGGGTCCTCGACATTTCTGTCTGACAGGAGTTCCCTACCTTGACTTCACACTGTGGCTAGGCCCAAGCCCTACACTCCTGCCAGGTCCCATTACCACGCCCCTTCTTACTTTGGCCCTGCCCCTTGACCAGCCCTACCACTACAAGGTCACCAAGCTTAGCGGTAGCGGCCACAGCTCTCCAGAACCTCTCCAGACACACGGTTGCCTCGGTCCGGCTCAGTCCAGCAAACCCTCCTCAGACAACTTTGGTTTGGCTCAACCCACGTCCCCACCCCGACACTCCTACCATACGCTCTCACCATTCCCTCCCTTTGGCTCAGCCTTTGCCCCGCCCCATGCACACCCCTACCAGGTGCTCTCGCCACACCTCCTGATGTTGGCATGCCCCTTGCCCCACCCCACACTTCCACCAGCTGCTCTCACCAAGCCCCCTAACTTTGGCTCGCCCTCCCATACAACCACCAGGTGCTTTCACCACGCCCTTAGCCTTGGTCCCACCTAGCTCCCCGCATCCCCGTCCCAGCAATCTCGACACGCCCACCTACCGCTTTCACCACGCCCCTCGCGCCGCGCCCCTGCTTTGGCTCCGCCCTTGCCCCGCCCCACACATTCCCGCCAGCCGCACCCACACCCGACAGCGGTCCTCCTCTGGATTCGGGTGACGTCATGGCTGGAAATAGCCGCGCCGGGCGGGGCCGCAGCGGACAAGAGACAAAGCTGAAGGCTGGCTGCCGCGCTAACACGCCCCCTCCCCTCCCTGACCCTGCCGAGCCGCGCCGGGGCCCCGACCACGACCGGAGCACTGCCCCAGCCGCTAGCGCGGCGAGGAGTCGCCATCCCTCCCGCGTCCCCCGTCTAGCCCCGCGCTCAGCCCAGTCACTCACC